TGCCATTTTTTTTGTAAGCAACCGGACCTTTTCCGATGTTACACACTCAACGATTTCCAGAAACTAGCAAACTCATTCAAGGCTTTGTGCAACACAAGGTGAATTAGTTTAACAAGGATTTAAAAGCATGTTTTGCGTTGGTTATTGTATATTTATATGAATCACACATGATACTGTTTGGAGATCATTTGCTGGATTTTAAATCTATCCAGTATTTCTATTACGTGCGAGGGATAGCTAGCATCCTCGCTAACTATAACTAGCCGGGTGTCACGGCGAACTTGAATAGGAATAAGTGTTCTTTCTTCTCTCTCCTGTCTTCGTAGGTCTCTTGTTCAAAGTTAAACAATGTTCCTGACGAGATCGGAATATGACAGGTTGGTGGAAACAGCGCCGCAACACAAACTGCGTCGTCATTTCTTGGCGGCTTCTTGCTACTACTTGTGAACAAACTGGAAGGAATACGATAATGTTTCTTTTGTTTCTACCGACAGTTTTAAAGATTAAGTGGTGGAGTTCATTGTAATCACAACGACTTACGTGTCTCTGTTTTCTGGTAATGTGAAGTAATTCACAGTTAGGTTTTGTCGCATGTCTACTTTCACTTTCGTTGAGACTTTTCTTTTCGATGTTGCCTAGTTGGCGTCAGAACCTCGCATTTGAAGTTTTTGTCAGTTCTAAATCTTAATATGTCTTCCCAGCATTGCAATGAACAATAATCGCAGTTCTTGATCCATTGTCTTTCAGAGGTGTGAACACATTCTCTCCCGAAGGAAGGTTATTTCAAGTTGAATATGCTATTGAGGCTATTAAAGTGAGTGTTTAGTTGAACAAATATTTTATATGACTTTAAAACTAATGTAAATCTGGAAGGTCATCTATGTATACGTATATGTATTGGTCTCTTAATTCTTCCCATCTGTTTTTCCAGCTTGGGTCCACTGCCATTGGTATCCAGACATCAGAGGGAGTGTGTCTGGCTGTGGAGAAGAGGATTACCTCTCCGCTGATGGAGCCCAACAGCATTGAGAAGATTGTGGAGATCGACAGTCACATTGGTGAGTAGCAATAAGAATGTCATTTTCACTTTTTGGTCCAGGGTTCGTTTCCCACACTGGTCTGGACCTTTTTATGCAGGCGTGAATACACACAAATAACTCCTGGTGCAGACCACGCAACTGGACCGAGCCCACTTTTTGAAGTGGTCTCTGGGTGTTTCCAAAACGGACTTGATGTGGTTCGCGACAAGTCTTAATACAAACCAATTCCGATCCGCACCAAATACAGGATATGAGTGACTTTTTGGGCTGAACAAGTCACTGCAGCCTGGCATCGTAGGAAATATTAGCCCGCAGTGAATGTTGATCATATGTGATTCTTTGTCTTTTGTTTAGTCGCGCCGCTGCCAGCATGTTGTGGGTCAACGCATGCAGTACACGCTAATTTGGTGACACTGTGACACTGTTCCAAAATTTAGAAAAAAGTGTCAAACATGCATTGAATGACCTGCTCTTGACACTCAAAATTATTTTGCCGTTCTAATAACATCAGTATCATGCGGAACAAGAATGCAGTACGTAGGAATTGCATGTTTTCCTCCATTTCTGGATTTGTGCTTTTGTTGCCGCCCTCATCATTTCTGTCCAATGAGAGTACCGATCGTTATACACGTCAATGTGTTTACAGAATATAGTTCACTTGCAAAAAGTACAGTCTGAAAATGCACTGCACCAAACAAAAAATAAATACGTCCGCTTTTGGTCCGGATCAAGCAAGAACAGCAAAACTGCAACTTGATCATATGAAAGCACATCCCTTATATAGAAATAAGGTTCCAAGAATATTAATGATATCAATATTCACATGTGTTTTCTTTTGTGTGTCATGCCTTGCAGGTTGCGCAATGAGTGGCTTGATAGCGGATGCCAAGACTCTAATTGACAAAGCCCGAGTGGAAACACAGGTATGGAAGTCTACAGTTTACTTTGCTTATCAGCTATGGCTTATCTTCATTCTGCGCTCCTCGACAGAACCACTGGTTCACCTATGATGAGACCATGACAGTGGAGAGCGTAACCCAGGCAGTGTCCAACCTGGCACTGCAGTTTGGGGAGGAGGACGCCGACCCTGGTGCGATGGTGAGTCTCTTTTCTCTTCATCTGCTCGAAAACGTGAGACATGCTAGTGTATCTTTGAACCTCTTTTCTGCTGCCTCTACAGAGTCGACCATTTGGAGTCGCGCTTCTTTTTGGAGGGGTGGATGAAAAAGGACCTCAATTGTATATAATTTTTCATATTTGTGCACATTGAAGATGTTAGAGTATTAAAAATGCCACATCGACTCCTATGTTTTTAATTCCAGGTATCACATGGACCCTTCGGGAACCTTTGTGCAGTGTGACGCTCGAGCAATAGGCTCCGCATCTGAGGGTGCACAAAGCTCCCTGCAAGAGGTCTACCACAAGGTAGAGATGTTATTCGGATGCAGCAATTATTCAATGGATTAACCCAGATCTGCAGATTTTTATTTTTCAGATAAGTCACCCAAAGTTGCCTTTTGTGTTTGAATCTTGTAGTCCATGACGCTAAAAGATGCCATCAAGTCATCTCTCACCATTCTGAAGCAGGTGATGGAGGAAAAGCTCAACGCCACCAACATTGAGGTGTGTGTGCCTTTTTTTTTTTTAAATATATGCCTCATTTCCTCAAATAGTGGCCTCCACTCTGATAGACACCATACTTCGTTTTTTGCGTTTCCCTGTAAAAAAAAAAATGTTTAAGCCGATTAAGTATCACAATAAGGATCTGAGCGGCGCCATCTTGGCCAATTTGGTGCTGGTGCATGAGCACTACCACAATATGAGAAAATACAACAAAGCCATATAAACTTAATTTTGCAATATTTATGGATGTTTGAATTTCAATGCCAAAGGGTTATGATTGATGTTCTCTTTAGCTGGCAACAGTGGAGCCAGGGAAGACCTTCCACATGTACTCCAAAGAAGAGCTGGAGGATGTGATCAAGGATATTTAGATGGTTTTCAGTGCGGGACGAGAGAACAGGAAGTACACCTGGCCTCAGAGTCGAGCAACAAAACACAACTTTCCATCAGCACATCCAGCTCCGCTACACTCAGATGTTTTTCGGATTGCATCGGAGGTTTTGTCTGTGTGATGTGCTAATGGACTTCTTCCCTATCGACGTCTGTTCAGAGCGCCAGGAAGAAAATGGGGGGAGTTTTTTTTTTTTCTAACAAATCAATACTTCAATTAAACCGTTGTATTCCATAACTAAATGACTGTGCTTTTATTTTCTTAACCCTCCACCCACAACTCAACGGTTCTGAATTCCAGAAAGGCCTCTTGCTCTCAAATAAACCTCTTTTTTTCCTGTGTGGCTTCGTTTTAAGTTTTGCCCTTCATAATACGCCAAAGAATATTTTCAGTGTTTATTTCTGCTTCAGTGGAAAGTTTTTGTGTGCACTCAAAGTTCCAGTGGTGCATCTGTGATCATCCAGCCACAGCTTGTTTTGTTTGTACCATTGACAATTTTACATTCAAAAATGTTCAGCTGACTTTTCAGTGAAAGAATGATGGTCGAAAATAATCTAGGGTTTAGAACTCCATTCATTATCATTATTCTGACAAAACTGCAAATTAAATAATCATTAATCGTTTCTCACTCTTCACTAATTCAAACTCGATCAAACCAGAAAAAAAAATCAAATAAGGCCATTATTGCTAATTGATGAATTTCTTTTGGCGTGTCTCCAACGTTTTCTTTTAAATTATATCTTTTTGTGTGTTTTGATATTTTTTTTCAGGGAAGACAAACTGTATTATGCAGCACTATGTGACTCCGGAAATCAATTCCAAAACTTTAAAAACACTATTTGCAAATGTCAAAATTCCATAAGACATCGCTGTGCATTGCTCACCACCTGTGCAAATGATCTCAAGCATTATGAAAATGAATTAAAAATATAAAACCGGAAAACATAATTTCAAATTACTTCAAATAAGTAGAAAAACTAAATTAAGAACATGTTCATTTCACCACACAATTTTTATTCAGTCATCTCAACTGTATTTATAGAAGTCATTAAACTATACTGTACTTTAAAGTAGTGTACACACAAAAATCACATACCAGGGTGGGATGTTACTTTTCTCGTTTCATCTCGGTCGCATGCCTTCTTACACCCCCACCCCCAGAAAACGCCAGAGGAAATCCTTAAGTTTGTGGACTTTTGTTCCCTTGCCGAGCACTTCATTTTAGTGCTTCCTGGAATCGTAAAATTCACAGAAAGAAAAAGGGGGACATGTTCACAGAAGAAAGGGGTGGGGTGGGGTGGGGGCAATTGATGAAAGCCTGCTGTTTTTTAAACAAACCACTAGGGGGCTCTAATACCCAAGGAAAGATTTGATATTAACTCGTCGAGGAAGAGTCCTGACGTCCAATGAAAATACAGGTTATTCTGGTCCTGGCCAATCACGCGCCGGCGTGGAGGGGACGTTAATGAAAGATTCGTCTTGGGGGATGAGGGGCGGCACGAGGAGTCAGTGTTTGGTATTAATGAGGTACCATAAGGGAGCGCAAGTAAAACTGACCTGCCGAATTTCAACATGCTTTCCGCGACTTGCGTGTTCACATGGGGCTTGTTTGCGTGCGCGCTGGCGAGAAATTTCCACGGACAAAAGTCGTTTGTGGGGAGGCCGCCGAGGGAGTTGAGTGGTGATGAGGAGCGACACACATGGGAGAAGTTGGAGATGTCGGAACGCGGCGCGGCAGGACTGAATGAACACTCATGTCCGAGTTTTCCTGGAGTCGAGTCAGCGCTGTTCAACAACACTCACACTGTAAGTCTTTTTTAATTTTTTTTTTTTTAACATCCAGCATAATTATCCGCCCAGTAGTGGTTATACTAAAGCTTCGAGACCGTTAGCTGAGTCTGTACAAGTAAAGAGATGAAAAGTTCATCATTTGCAATTTATTTGGGGTTTTTTTTTGTATGACGTTTATACCTACAACATTACAAAACATTAATTTCATTATTCTTATTTAATTTTTAATGTTAATAATGTCCAATACAACCCACTAAAGTTTAGGTTTTACAAAGAAAATAACGCCCAGTTTTGATTGACGTTTTGAGATTCCTGTCTGGGGCCTTTGACACCCGTGTATCGCAAAGATTTGGAATATTAACCTTAAATATCAAAGTGAATTTGAGAAAATTCTCCTATTTCTTTAGCAATAGATGAACTTGAGATCCTAGTTGAGGATTTTGAACTAGAAAGTGAAACATCTCAACACTTGTAATTGTAAGAAGATTTGATATAGTTTAATAATAACATCTTTGTCATAAAATGCGTCACTCGTTCATCTGTACTGCAGCCTCCTCTGCTTACACTGACAGCAGTGGTACTGCAACTGGCAAGTGTTGATTTTGCACGTTCGGTTTCACCGTGAAGGAGGCTTAAACTTAATTTTATTTTTTTTGGAGGGGGGATAAAAACTGTCTTCCTCTCCTTCTCTCCCTTTCTGGTCCACTTTGATTCTTTTTCCTCACAATGCTCCAACAGGTTTGTAAGAAAATGTAGCTCATCGCATGAGAAGTGAGGGAAGGCACTCCAAACAATCATGATAGATGAAGCATTTTTATGTGATTCTGAGCATGTTGATTAAGACCTAACCACAAACCGAACCATTAATGATTGCTTTTAATCAAAGAAAGCGTAATCAATTTTTATCAAAGCGTTTGGGGGCACAGTACTTGGAAATTTCCCAGGCCTGTGTTCACCTAGTTGCAATTAATCAAACCATAAGATTTATGACGCTAGTTGTAGAACTGCAGCTGTGTATTCCAAACATGACCCTCTCGCGTAGTGAAATAAGTTGGCCACTATATTAAAACACAGTGTCCACATTTTTTCTTTCAAGGGCAGCACACATAAAACTCAAAGGGATGAAAGGGACTCTGATGTTATTAAATTTTAATTTATTTAACATGTTAAAGCTAGGGGGTACGGTGGTTGACTTCCCGTGTGGCGTTTGCATGTTCTCCCCATGCCTGTGTGGGTTTTCTAAAGGTATTTCGGTTTCCTGTCAGTGTCCAAAAAAAAAAAAACATGCATGGCAGGTTAATGGAACACCAAATTGTCCCTATGTGTGAATGGTTGTTTGTCTATGTGTGCCCTGCGATTGGCTGGCGACCAGTTCAGGGTGTACCCCGCCTACTTCCCGAAAGACAGCTCGGATAGGCTCCAGCACACCCGCGACCGACCCTCGTGAGGATCAGCGGATTACAAAATTGATGAATGGATATTAAAACTAGTTTATCAATCTGTCTATCCATCCATCCATCTATTGAGTGGTTAGCGCATCGACCTCACAGTGCAGAGGTGCGGAGTTCGATTCTGGCTTTGGCCTGTGCGGGTTTTCTGCGGGTTCTGCGGTTTCTTTCCACATTCCAACATGCATGGCAGGCTGATTGAACACTCAAAATTGTCCCGAGGTGTGAGTGTGAGCACAGATGGTTGTTCTTCTCTGTGTGACCTGTTATTGGCTGGCAACCGGTTCAGGGTGTCCACCGCCTACTGCCCGAAGACAGCTTGGATAGACTCCAGCACCCCCTGCGGCCCTTGCGAGGAGAAAGTGGATTGGGAAATGGATGGGGAGAGCGAGAGAGAGTGAGTTTTATCCTCGGCTATTTTTTTTTTGTTTGTTTTTTGGAGTGAAACATCGAAAGTGTTCTGATAAATTATAAAGTTATGAGAAATTTCTCTGACACTGATAATGGTCGCGGGTGAGCTGGAGCCTGGACTCGTTCATTAAATATCAATTGCATACTAAAACAAATTTTACCAATCATATGTGCTTTAATCCACTACACTGGGATTTCCCAACCTTTATTTATTGAGCCAGGGCCAGTTTTTTTAAAATATTTTTTATTTTGCCCCAACTCTTGGCTTGTTTAGTCGAACAAAAAGCTATTGCATGAATGGCAACGGGTGATTATGCACTTCCCTTCTGCTATCTAGTGGAAGAGCATTTACTGCTTCCCGACACTGGCATAGATAAATGTACTTAAAAAAAAAATGTTCCTTTGAAAATGTTGGATTATGTTCCACAGCACACCACGGCACAGTGGCTGGGAATAACTGCACTATACTTCACGTATTCCTGTGACCAATGTGTTTCTGTATGACAAGCACCTTTCTGTTCTCTGTCTATTTCTGTATTAACCTCACTGGATTAAAAAAAACAAACAAACATCTGAGACAATCTGTCTCTCACATGTTTGCAGTCATTTTCAAATAGTTCGTAATTATTTTAGGTTTATTGCATTGTGGATACAGCAGTTGTATTGTCACTTGTGCTAGAGTTGTGGAGTATAATGGTGGTTCTTTTTTCATTATAATTAATAAGTGGTCAAATGTTGAAAATTATTTGACTTTCAAAATAGCCTGTGGTTTTGATGATTTTTCATGTGGAAAATTAGTTTTGAAATGATAAGAACAACATTTTCACGAATCAGATTGCCACTGACTATGTAGTTTGGAGCCTCTTTTGGTGTCAATTAAAACGGATCATTCTTATCTTTGGAAATTTAATAATTGTGAATTCGATGGTGCAGGTGTACCTAATGAGGTGGCCATTGAGTGTAAGATGGTCTTCAGTCCAGACCAGTGATTCCCAACATTTATTGACCAGAGGCACACATTTCTTTAAAATTGTCGCAAAAAGAAGATATGTCAGTTTCATACTTCTTGCCATCTAATAGAAGATCAACTATTTGTTCTGTCTGTCACTACAAGTTGCTGGCATAGATAGATGGACAAAGATACATTATTTGTTATTAATACAAAATTTTCTCACTAGTTAAGTGAAATGTGTTAATTTGCCACAGCACACCGTCGGAGCTCTCACGGCACACTGGTTGGGAATCAGTGGTCCAGACCACATCCATTAGCAGCCAAGTAGGGATGGTGCGTGGCTTTTTGACAACACAAACGTTCCCGTGGTCTGGTAATTGGAGGTTCTTGGAAGAAGGACCGAGACAAAAAGACAACACGGTGGTATTCATTGTCCTTCCAAAACCAACTTAACAGCCTCGGTCTTCAATCACACGGACCTTCATTATTTCTTCCAGCGAGGCCAACACACATCGTCTGTGTTGCAAAAAAAAAAAGCGAGAGCTGATTGGCCTTGATGTCCAGAGGAATGTTCGGCACTACTCGGCTGGTTTGGCTTCCTGTTTGCTCATGTGTGTTTGCTCTGTTACCAACGTGGCTG